GGCCTGGGAAAGGAGGCGTGGCCGGGAAGGGCTTGAGGGGTGGGGCCTGGTTAAGGAGGCGTGGTCAGGGAGGGGCTAAAGGGGGCCTGGGGAGGGAGGCGTGGCCGGGGAGGGGTTTGAGGAGTGGGGCCCGGGAAAGGAGGTGAGTTCAGACAAGGGAGGCGCTAAGGGGTGTGGCCATGGAGATGAGGCAGGTGCTGGGAGAAGCTGGCAACTCCATGGGTGCTGCTGAGGCTGTAAAAGCAGGACCAACCTGTGTCTGGGTGACCCCGCTGGCTGCCTGTTCATACAGAGGCCTGAAGGACATGGAGCTGGACACATCTTCCATCGAGAAAAGGTTCGCCTTTGGCTTCCTGCAGCAGTTGCTGCGCTGGATGGACATTTCCCAGGAGTTCATCGCCCATCTGGGTAGGCAGAGGGCCCTCCCCGTGCCATCCTACCTGCACTGGCGTGCCATCCTACCTGCTCGTGCCTGTCTCCTACCCTCCCTCGTCTGCTAAGGGTGTTGAGAGCAGGCAGTGGACAAGACAGAGGCCTGTGGGCCTGCAGTTTCCGCTCCTGGGGCCATAAGTAACTAACCCCACCGAAGTGCTTGAAGGTGGTCAGCGTTAGGGAGGAAGACCATACTAAAGCCAGCAAGGAGGGCCGGGAGTGTGGGCAGTGGACCAGATGAAAGCATTCCGAGAAGACTTTGAAGCAGCTAGGGAGGACACGTGTGTGTGTTCCAGGCAGAAGAACGGGCCCTGAGGGTCCCGGGAGCAGAGTAAGATGCCTGCACAGCGGGGCAGACGGTGCACCTGGGGGGGTGGCAGGGTCTGCGGGCCACAGCGGGCTTGGGCTCTTACCTGGGGTGAGGCGGCACTGAGAGAGGTAGCGGAGGGCGGGGTTCGCCTGCACCCTCTGCTTGTATGTGGGGCACGTGGAAGAGGCTGAGCAGTGAGCAGATTCCCGGTTTGAGGGCTGAGGCTGTCGGGGTGCTCCGCGGACGCCTCCTATAGACCACTAAGAAAACAGCAGCCCCCTCATACATCTCACCTAGGTCCCCCTCTCCCCTCCCTGCGTGCTTTATCTGCCCTGGGGGCTCTGATCACCCTAACTGGCTGCAGGCCGATTGCTGGTGAAAGATCAGGGAGAGAGGCTGAGCTCAAAGCCACCAGAGGGGAAGTCACACCAAATATTTGCCTCCCAGCATTTCTAACTCTGTCCCTAGAATCCTCCCCAAACCAGAACCAGAGCATGAGCACGCCGAGCCCCCGGCCTTGAGCCCTCCATGACCTCTGTTTGCTCCCCCCTCACCAGAGGCCGTGGTCAGCAGTGGGCGAGTGGAAAAGTCCCCACATGAACAGGAGATCAAATTCTTTGCCAAGGTGAGAAGTGAACCAAGAGCTGGAGGGTCCTGGGATGGGGCGAAGGGTTCCCCAGCCCTTCACCCAGCCCCCCTCCCCACTACCCTCTTCCCCAGATACTGCTCCCCTTGATCAACCAGTACTTCACCAACCACTGCCTCTATTTCCTGTCCACACCGGCCAAAGTGCTGGGCAGTGGTGGCCACGCCTCCAACAAGGAGAAGGAAATGATCACCAGGTAGACTGCCCGTGACCTCTGACCCGGTGCCCCCTGACCTCGCAGATCGTAATCCTGCACCCTTACTTCTGGCCTCAGCCGTGGGTGCTCGCTCCTGGGGCTAGGCCCTGGTCACTACCTGTAGAGGTGACTGAGGGTGGGGATAACCGTCCTGGCGTGTTCGGGGCTGAGGGGCGCCCTAGAACGTGGGGCTGCAGGCAAACTAGGACAAATGGTGCCGTGTCAGAGGCAGGCCAGCCTCCCGTCCCCCAGCGCCCCATCACTGTCTGACCTTCCGCTTGCTCCCTGCACCCCGCCCTCCTGTCTCCTTCATTCCCCCCACCCCCCTCTCCAGGCTCTGTCTCGGGTCTCTCCCTCGCTGTCTTCCTTGTTCCTGCCTCCTCTGGTGGTGCCACTGCTGCTCCTGTCCCCTTGGGGCCTTCACGCCCTGTTTTTCCTGCCCTGTCCCTTTCTCTGTCTTCAGCCTCTTCTGCAAACTTGCTGCTCTTGTGCGTCACCGAGTCTCTCTCTTTGGTAAGTAGCTCTGCTGCCCTGGCCTTTCCTCCTAATCTTCTATCCCCAAACCCACCCTGAAAAAATATGGCCCGGGATTAACCCTCCGTTTGAGCAGCCTTCGCTGTCTTCTTCCTCTGAATCTGAACATGACCGGGGAGGCGCCGGGCCCTGCATTCGTGGAGCCCCAGGCCAGTGAGGGAGACAGACTGGTCACCAGGGACAGCCTGAGGGGTCAGGGATGGGGTGGGGAAGCGCAGGGGCCTTCGGGAGTCAGGTGGAGGTGGGGTGGAGGGAGCGCTGGGTTGGGGGACAGTGGCAGGAGGTGCTGCTCTCGTAGCCCTTCCGTCACCCTGACCTGTGTTCCCTCTCCCAGGGACGGATGCCCCGGCTGTGGTCAACTGTCTCCACATCCTGGCCCGCTCCCTGGACGCCAGGTGGGGCTCCGGGCTGCAGTGCCCGTTCCCACCATGCCAGCTTCTGTTCACTGAGACTTTTGAATCCAGGTTCTCAGATTTGAGAGCTGGTGCGCCTCCCCCCTCCTCAGGACAGTGATGAAGTCAGGCCCCGAGATCGTGAAGGCTGGTCTCCGCTCCTTCTTCGAGAGCGCCTCGGAGGACATAGAGAAGATGGTGGAGAACCTGCGGCTAGGCAAGGTGTCCCAGGCGCGCACGCAGGTGAAGGGCGTGGGCCAGAACATCACCTACACCACCGTGGCCCTGCTGCCCGTCCTCACCACCCTCTTCCAGCACGTCGCCCAGCACCAGTTTGGAGATGACGTCATCTGTAAGAGCTCCTGACCCCGAGGGCCGAGGTCAGGGATGGGTGGGGGGACAGTGCCGCCAGCCCCACCCAGGACCCTCAGGTGGTGGGGTGTGTGGCTTTACTGCTGTAATCCACGCACAGGAGGGTAGGTTACCTACGAATCAACCAGGATATGAGTTCAGCAGCTCTAACTAAACACCCTGCGTCACTGCAGCCCAAACAAGGCAGACGTATGCTTCTTTCTCCATTAACAGCCCCCGTGAGCAGATCATTATGGTAGAAGCCCAGGTTCTCGCCATCTTGTGGCTCTGGCACCTCTGACACGTGGTCGTCATGGGCGTGGCCCAAGAGGACACATATGCATTACCCTTACTCTGGTCAGCAGGAGAGGAGAAACTGCAAAGGGAGCGCTGCAGTTCCTTTCAAGGAACAACCTAGAATGAGCCTGCACCAGTGCTGCTCACACCCATCCCGCTGGCCAGGCCTTAGCACAGGCCGCCTGTCACCTGAGGGAGGCCGGGAAAGTAGCCTTTACTCCAGGAGATTGTGTCCTGCTGAGTGGCAGTGGACTATTGCTAGGAAAGGAGCAAAAGGAGGATAAAAGCAGATGTTGGTAGTCAGTTAGTAGTATCTGCTGGTTTATCATGCCAACTGGCAGTACAGGTGTGACCAGCCTCGGCTCGTGTGACATTGTGCTTTAGGGTGTGACATGCAGCATTAATGAGCCCCAACAAGGTGAAACGCCTGTGGTGGCATGATATTTTGTGTTCAGGTCCTGAAAGGACCTTCCAAGATGTGGGCTGGGAAGGACAGAGGGGCGGCTGGGCGATGCTCGGGCGGCCTAGGAGCTGGGCCACAGAGGGGAGGTGTCCCCGTCCAGGGTGGGCTTTAGGGCCGCGGGCTGTGGGGCAGAGAGTGGAGCCAGCTCTCAGCTCATGGTTTATTTGAAATAAGAGTAGGAAAAGTAGCAAGCAGGTGGGCGGGGTTCTTCCCTGGCTCCACTGTTCCACTTACTCAACAAGTTAAAATCACACAGAAAAGTCAAAAGAGGAGAAAGGTTGACAGTTTGCCTGGTGTGCACCCCCCTTTTACTTGGTGGGGCAAAGTGCTTGCAGGCTTCTTGGTTGAGCTCTGAACGTGAGCTGCACACACGCCCTCACTCCTGGGACTTGGCGTCTCCTGGGCTCGCCACCTTGTGGCTCCCACACACCAGCCTGCTGCACTGCGACCCCCTCAGCCTCACAATATCTCCGATTAAAAAAAAACAGAATCCAGTTAGTTGCGAGGTCTCTGGAGGTTCCCTTCAGTCTAGAAGAGCCCCCTACCCTCTTCCTTTCTGCCTCAGGACTTTTATGGAGCTGATGAGGTTCTTAGCCAGACCTGGGGGCGTTGTGGTGGGGGAGGGGCTGCGGATGACCTAAAATGGTAGTCACAGTTGCGCATGAGTGTTTGCATTTTCTTTCTGGAGTGCTTTGGGCTCATCTGAGAGACCCAGGGCCCCTCTCCCAGGAAAGGACAGCTAGCCCTTCTTGAATGCCTGCTGGGTGCCCTTGCCAGTTGCCCTCAGAGTATTAATTCCTTTGATCCATGCAAAACCCCCCAAGGAAATACTCTAATTATCCCCGCTTTACAGACAGGGAAACTGAGGCAGAGAGCGAGAGAGAAGATGGCAGGCTGGCTACCCAGCCTGGCTGCTCCACACTGTTTGGAGGTGGCGGGGGGAGAGGGCCCTGTGAGGGCTTCCCTGACCCTCACCTTTCTTTCTCCCCACAGTGGATGATGTCCAGGTCTCTTGCTACCGAACGCTGTGCAGTATCTACTCTCTGGGAACCACCAGGAACCCTTATGTGGAAAAGTAAGGAGAGAGCGCCATAGTGCGGGGCTTGAGATGGTCTTGTGGGGGCTTAGGGAGGGGAGCAGCAGGAGATGGGCAAGGGAGCCGTTCCCTGCCTTCGACAACAGTTCAGCACCTGCCGCAGCTGCAGTTCCCCAAAGTGGCCGCGCGAGGGCACTCAAGGGAAGGCCAGCCAGGCAGGAGGGCGCCTCCAGGCCGGCGGTGGGTGGGGCGACACCTGTTGGCCAGGATGCCTAGTTTCTCTTTGATGGGGAACAAGCTTGCCCTGGCAGGGGCACACAGAAGTGAGGGCGGGACTAGGGGTCAGCGCACCGGTAGGGCCTCGGCCCATGGGTGAGAGCGAGAGCGCATTCGCGAACCTGGAAAGGCCACATCGGTGCCCGCAGGTGAAGGGCAGCTCTGTCCAAAGGGTTTTGGGGAGCGGACAGGGCGGCTTGGACGCTGACCAGAGTCCCCGCTTCCAGGTTGCGGCCCGCCCTGGGGGAATGCCTGGCCTGCCTGGCAGCGGCCATGCCCGTGGCGTTCTTGGAGCCCGAGCTGAACGAGTATAACGCCTGCTCGGTGTACACCACCAAGTCTCCCCGGGAGCGAGCCAGTGAGTTGGTGGGGCCGGGGCAGCTGCCACCCAGGGCAGAGCCCACGCTGGAGGTAGTGGGACCCAATCTGAGGTTTCCTGTCGGGATTCCAGCTTGGGGGTGCTCCAGATGGGGAATCCAGCGTTTGTGGGGTGGACATTGGGGCTTGGAGGCGATGGGTTGTCATACTCTGACCCCTCTCTGCACCCCAGTCCTGGGGCTCCCCAACAGTGTGGAGGAGATGTGCCCTGACATCCCGGTGCTGGAACGGCTCATGGCAGACATCGGGGGGCTGGCCGAGTCGGGGGCCCGCTACACGGAGATGCCCCACGTCATTGAGATCACGCTGCCCATGTTGTGCAGCTACCTGCCCCGCTGGTGGGAGCGCGGGCCCGAGGCACCCCCACCAGCCCTGCCTGCCGGGGCGCCCCCACCCTGCACGGCCGTCACCTCCAACCACCTCAACTCCCTGCTGGGGAACATCCTGAGAATCATCGTCAACAACCTGGGCATCGATGAGGCCTCGTGGATGAAGCGGCTCGCGGGTGCGTCTGCCATCGGGGCTCCTGAGGCAGGCGGTGTCCCGGGGCTCAGAGGGAGACCCCTTGGTCTCCTGGGAGCTGGGGGGAGCCACTGTCTCCAGGAGTCGCTGTAAATGAGAATCTCAGGCTCTGAGGATGAGAGTGGATGGATGGGCCAGAGACCGGCAGGCTGGACCCAGAATTTCTGAAACCTTGGGGAGGATTCGGTCAGGGTGGGCTCGGTTAGCAGGCTGAGTTTGTGATGCAGAGGGTCGGGACCAGGGCGAGGTCAGCATCCCCAAGATGGACAGTTAGGGTCAGAGGTCAACAAACGAGTCTTTGTGTCAGCATCAAGTTAGAGATTGGGGCTGGGTTCAGAGGTCAGGATGAAATTAGAAGCCAGAGGTCATGGTCAGAAATCAGGCAACGAGGTAAGTCTGGGTAAGGGCCAGGTCAGAGGTTAAGGACGAGGGCGCGAGGCCACGGACTCGGCTGAGACCCAAGTGTCGGGTCAGAGGCTTGTGTCAGGCTAGAGTCCTAGGTCAGGTCCCGGGTCACGATCGGGATCTTGGCAGAGGTCATGGCCCCAGGACAGGTGTGGAGTTAGGGGGTCAGGAGGTCAGAGGTCTGGTGCTGGGGTTACAGGCTGGCCAGCAGCAGGGCGCCCCTCTGCTCCTACAGTGTTTGCGCAGCCCATCGTGAGCCGGGCGCGGCCCGAGCTCCTGCACACACACTTCATCCCCACCATCGGGCGTCTGCGCAAGCGGGCGGGCAAGGTGGTGGCCGAGGAGGAGCAGCTGCGGCTGGAGGCCAAGGCGGAAGCCGAGGAGGGCGAGCTCCTGGTGCGGGACGAGTTCTCCGTGCTCTGCCGCGACCTGTACGCCCTCTACCCGCTGCTCATCCGCTACGTGGACAACAACAGGTCAGCGCGGCCCCGCACTCCGCTCTGACCTCTGAACCCCAGCATGGCTGGCGAGTCGCCTCCTGACTTGTCGTGAGCGTCCAGTTCCACCCTCTGCCCCTGCCTCCCCCGTGAGGCCCCAGTATCAGGCACGGCGAGCCCCACGTCCCCCCCAGCACAGTCTGTCCAGTTTTGGGGAAAGGCCCCCAGAAAGCAGGTCTTTGAGGAAAGGGCAGGGACCCACCACGTGCCCGCATCTCCCTAAAATCGGCAGCGCCACTTAAAGAGCCGATTGCAGCCTAGTCCAGGGATAGTGAATAAATTTCAACTCCGAAGTCCCATCCGCGCTGAAAAAGATTTGAAGGTGATTGTGACTTGGGTGGGGGGTTGCAGGTGTGTTCACGTGACGGTTCATTGACGCTTCCTTCTATGTGTGTCATTCTTTAATAAAAAGGCTGGAGAAGGAGAAAATACAGGTCAAAAAAAGACGGGTCAGATCCTCCCTAGAAACCCCCCCCCCTTCCACTGGAGTTTCCCTCCCCCCCTTCCACTGGAGTCTCCTGGCTCCCCCTCCTTCCCTGCTCAGCGCCCCTCACCAGCCCGGCCCTTGCCCCCAGGGCACACTGGCTGACGGCACCGGACCCCAGTGCCGAGGAGCTCTTCAGGATGGTGGGCGAGATCTTTATCTACTGGTCCAAGTCCCACGTGAGTCCCCGCCACGGCGCCCACCTCTCTCCAGAACCCCTGCTGGAAGCTGCCCTCCCCCAGCCTGTCTGACCCCTCCCACTGCCCCCCCCAGAACTTTAAGCGTGAGGAGCAGAACTTTGTGGTCCAGAATGAGATCAACAACATGTCCTTTCTGACCGCGGACAACAAGAGCAAAATGGCCAAGGTGTGTGCTTGCTCAGAGAGGAAGACAGTGGGGGGGGGCGGGGAGAGGGGGGACTCCCCAGGGCTTCCTGCTGACCCCTCCTCACCCAGCAGCCTGTCCACCTTGGTCACCCTGCAGCCCAGATAGCAGCCCTCTGGCCCCTTTCTCTCCCTGTCTCCCTCCTCCTCCTGTCTTTCTTTCCTTCCCTCAGCTCTCTCCTCCCTCCTCCCCTTCTCCCTCGTTCTTCCTATTTTTCTTCACTGTCCTCTCTCCTCTTCTTCCTCTCCCCCTTGGCCATTTCTCTCATATCCCCCTTACCCTTCTCAGAACTGCCCTCTCCAGGGTCCTAGAGAGCAAACCCACCCTCCCTGAGTCAAGGTCTGGAAGTGCCCAGCTAGGGGATGCATGTTGGGGTGGGGTGGAGGACTGGGGTGTGGCCAGCTTGGAGCGGCCCGGGGTCCTCTGAGGGACTGGGGTAACCCTTCTTGTCTCTGTCTGCACCCCGGTGAAGCAGGCGGGAGAAGTACAGGTCAGCCCATGTCCCCTTCCGCATGGCTCCTGGCTAACACCCTCTCCCCACCTCTGTGCCTCCATACAACCGCCCCTCGCCCTTGGCTCCCAGTCCCCACCCTCTTCCTCCTTCCTCACCCCTGTCCCCCTGTCCTCACCCTCAACTCTCCTTTCCTTTCCCAACCCTCTGCATTTGGCAATTCAGCTTTTTTTGTTTTTTTAACTTTCGTTAAAAAAAAAAAAAAAAAGGGAAAACAAAAACTCTCAGCTTTCCCCAAAGCACCGAAGCCTCATCGGCGCATCACAGGCTGAGGTCATGAGGAATGGGGATGGAAGAGGCACGCGCATGGTCGGGCTTAAGGCTTGGGCTCTGGAATCAGACGGACTTGGGCCTGAGCCCTGACTTTGGGTGGTCAGCACTGTGACTTGGTCGAGTGTCTTAGCCTCTGCGCCTCGGACGGCACTAGCCCTGGCCCCTGGCCCCCGGCCTCTGCAGAACCGGGGTGGGGCGCTGCATGTGTGACCTCGGCGTGCCGATATTGTGGGCCGGCGTGGATGCAACGGCCGAAGCTTGTCACCCAGGCTTCTCAGTGGCATGACTGGGGAGGCCCTGCCCGCCGGGCTTCACCCAAGGCTCCAGAACACGGCTGTGGGACTCTGTGCCCCGTGTTTCTGCTTCCAGGTCTTTCTGGAACTCTCTTGCATCTTCTGTGTTCCTGTCTCCCTGTCTGTCTCAGCCTCTCGGCCTCTTTTTCTTCCAACCTTTCTTGTCTCTTGGGATTCTTTATGGCTCTGCATCTTTATTTTACTCTTGGGGTCTCAGTTTGGGATGTGAAGTGTGAGGTTGTGCATGCTGTGTGGGGAATGTGGAGGGGCGGAGGTCGTACTGGGAGATGTCATGGGGTTCTGGGAGGAGATGGCCAGAGTTTGAGAAAGGCCTGGAATTTGGGGCAATTTGTGGGGAATTAAATCTGGGATAAAATTTGGGACCTTGGAGTCTGGTAGGGTCTGGGGTCAGCAAGGTCTGGGGTGGAAACTGAGGTCAGGGAGGGGGTGCCTGGTCTCCAGGCTGGAGGCTGGAGTGTGGACAGTGGCCGCAGGTTGCGCTGGCGCCTGGGACCAGGTTGGGACTCAGGATGGTGCTGAGCCCCATGTCCCCACAGTCGGGTGGCTCCGACCAGGAGCGCACCAAGAAGAAGCGCAGAGGGGACCGGTACTCCGTGCAGACGTCACTCATCGTGGCCACGCTCAAGAAGATGCTGCCCATCGGCCTGAACATGTGTGCTCCCACCGACCAGGAGCTCATCACGCTGGCCAAGACCCGCTACGCCCTGGTACCTTCCCAGCCCCATCTGGGGAACCTTCCAGGATTCCAGCCAGCCTCCCACTGAGCCCCCAGGACCCTCGGAGAGCCCGTAGGACCCTACTCAGTTTCTGACCACTCGTGGGGCCCCCAAGAAGCCCTGAGCCTCCCCTAGGATGCCGAGGACTCCACGCTGGTTGCTGCCAGGGCTGTAGGCTCTGGAAATGCCACCAAGACCATGGGCCCCTCTGAATCCCTGGGCCCCCCGCAAGCTCTCGGGCTCACCTTCTCCCTTCAGGGCTCTGCTGCCCACTCCCCCTGGGTTCTGTTGACACACTGTTGAGTCTTCAGAGGTGCTTAGAGACCAGTGAGCACACTGTGGTGCTAAGTAGACCCCCCAGATCCTAATAGTTCCTTTTCCAGGACCATACCCAAACTTTTGAGGTCTCAGATATCCTAAGGATTGAGTCCTCTTGCCCTGAACTGTTTTCAGCCCATCAGGGCCCCAAGAAGGTCTCCCAGAGCCCCAATACCCCTTGTATGGCAAAGTACCCCTAAAGAGTCCTGCCAGGATCTGGCCCCAGGGGTCCTCTTCCCCACCAGGAACCTCCTGAGTCCTAGGACTCAAGGGTACCACAGACTCTTGGACTTGGTCTTTGAGGGTCCCCTCTCCTGGGACACAAAAGAAACACCCACCTGAGTTCCCTTCTTTGGCCTCTGTGGGAGTCCCATCATGGCTCTGTTGATCTGCCTGACCTCCTGGGACCTCTGCTGACCTTGCCAACTCTTCTGACCCCCCACCAACTCTGGTCTTCAAACACTACCTGCCCGTCTCCCATTTACTCCCAGTTCTCCTCTGACAACCTATATTGACCTTTGGGGAGCACCTCTTGTCAGCCCCTTACTCCTCACACTCCCTTCTAATCCTTACTGCTCTGCCCTCCAGCGTCCACTCTGCTTACTCCTGACCACTGTCTCTCCAGCTCCTTTCCCCACACACCTCTCACCAGCTATGGGGGGACAGGCCTAAAAGGGAAAGTTCTGGGGCTCAAGAAGGACTCTGGGCCCTGAGTGACCCAGCCGGTCCATGTCTCCCCAGAAAGACACAGATGAGGAGGTGCGTGAATATCTGCAGAACAACCTTCATCTCCAGGGAAAGGTAAACCTGCTTGATCTGCAGCGGGAGAGGCGCTGTCCACAGTAACAGCAGCGTTGCTTGAGCGCTTGCTGTGCCCAGGCATGAAGGACGGACCTTAACCTGTACTCGCCCACCCTGAGACTCTTCGGGGTTTTGAAAGGGGCAGCCGAGGGCGCTTCGAGAAGCCCAGCTGAGCGAGGGGAAGCTGGCAGGGCAGGTGCCCTCACATGGCCCGATGCCCTTCTTCCTCAGGTCGAAGGCTCCCCCTCGCTGCGCTGGCAGATGGCCCTGTACCGGGGCCTCCCGGGCCGTGAGGAGGACGCTGACGACCCCGAGAAGATTGTACGCAGGGTCCAGGAAGTGTCTGCGGTGCTTTATCATCTGGAGCAGGTGAGTGGGGCCCAGCGCTCTACCTTTGAGTGGTAGGAACTAGGGCTCTGGGCGGGGCAAGGGGCGGGCCCACAATCTGTGGGCGGGGCCTAAGGCTGATTTGGGCTTCTGGGTGGGGTAGGGGTGGGCCTTATAGCTGTGGGCGGGGCATAAGTGGAACCAGGGGTTTAACTTGAGACTAAAATGTAAACTATGTCTGAGGGCTGTTCCTGGTTCTTCACCTTGGGCCTGGGGGTGAGGCCACGGGCAAAACTTTGGGCTTGGGGGTGAGGCCTGGTGGGAACGCCTTGACTCCGTAAACAGGGTTCCGGAGGGGGGCGGTCTTGGGGTTGGGGCGGGGCCTGGGTAGTTGCACTGGGTCTGTGGGCGGGGCCTAGGAGGGAAATTTAGGTCTGGAAGCAGGACCCAAGTCAGAATCCTTACTGATTGAGAAGACAAGGTTTTTTTTGGCCCGTGAGTCGGGTCCAGACAGTTTCTGGTCTGGAATGGGATTCTGGCTGAGGGCAGAGTCCAGGGACATGACAGATTGTCCCGCCCGCAGACTGAGCACCCTTACAAGTCCAAGAAGGCTGTGTGGCACAAACTCTTGTCCAAGCAGCGCCGGAGGGCAGTCGTTGCCTGTTTCCGCATGACTCCCCTGTACAACTTGCCCACGTAAGACCCCCGGGAGAGGAGGGGAGCGCGAGCAGCCTGCCAAAGGGTGGCTGAGAGGCAGGAGGATGGAGTGCCAACACCGTGGGCGCTTGAGGAATGGTTGGGGGGCAAGGGTGCATGGAAACTGAGGGCTTCACAGGAAGGGGGCCTCTGATGCCTCACTCTTTCCCCTGCAGCCACCGGGCTTGTAATATGTTCCTGGAGAGCTACAAGGCCTCCTGGATCTTGACTGAAGACCACAGTTTCGAGGACCGCATGATAGATGACCTTGCAGTGAGCTGGAGTCTGCCCGGGAGTGGGGGGCAGGACTGTTAGGGCTGGGGACAGAGCTGCCCAGTGCACTGCTCCAGGGATGGCCTTCACACTGGTGGAGATGGAAATGGTAGCCGTGAAGTGGGTGGGTGCAGACACAGGGAACAAGAAATAATCCAGGCTACACTTGATCTTAGCCAAAAGGCCGAGAAGCAATAATAACCCAGTCTAGTAAGGCTACAGGGGAAGACAGGCAGGGACTCTGGCAACACCTCCCCAAACCGCCACCTTTCCCCCCACCAGAAAGCTGGGGAGCAGGAGGAAGAAGAGGAAGAGGTGGAAGAGAAGAAGCCAGATCCCCTGCACCAACTGGTCCTGCACTTCAGCCGCACAGCCCTGACTGAGAAGAGGTGAGGCCCCTTCCCGGGTCTGGGAAGGGGCTCCTGGCCCCCACCGCACCCCAGTGACCTCTGGCCCACAGGAAAGACATTCTGAGTCTCAGGCTGGTCACTTCACAAGGACATCTTTTTGAGAATTCATATCACTGACAATATTCATTTAGGCTCTTCTAGAAGACAGTTTCTTGCTAAGAAAAAAAAAAAAGAATGAGTGTATTATGAGGAAGCATTAGTATATTATGGCAGGTTTCCTGCAAATGGAAGTGGGAAAGGCATCTTTTCAAATCCACAGAAAGACTTCATATGGGCTAATGGCAGTCTGGGCACTGAAAAACAGTAATAAGGACTCTGCTGCTGATGATGATAACAGGCCACATCTATCAGGTGCATATTATGTGTCAGGCCTGATGCTTAACTCGATGTACATCATCTCTCACTAAGTCTCCCCTCTCTGAGCTGATTATCAGCTTTTTGTGGGTGAGGAATGGAGGCCCAGGGATTGCTCTTTCTCATGTAGCAAGAAGACAAGAGGAAGGACGTCCCAGATGGGGCAATGGCCCAGTGGCACCGGGAGGGACCCAGGTTCAGCCACACGTTCTGGTCCACCCCTGAGGCCATCAGGCCATTCTTGACCTGACCATGAGCCAGGAAGGAAGAGGGAGAAAGGCTTTCCTTTAAGCAAGACCAAGATCCCCACATCCTAGCCGGAAAGCTCTCCCTGAGGGCTTCTGCACATATGCCATTGGCTAGAAATCTGACTTCAGGCCCCCTCTAGCTGCAAGGGAGACTGGGAAGTTGAGTCCTGTTTTCCCTCCTCTGGGAAAGCAGTGATTCTGGTGTTAGACTCTGCAGGTTTGAGTCCCAGTGTGTGACCTTGACCAAGTAATAGCTTTGTTCCTTACTTCCTCATTTGTCAAATGGGGCTGTTAATAAATCCGCGTAATAGGGTTACTGTGAGAAACAATCTGCTCATATCTACAAAGCATATAGAACAGGGACTGGTACAGGGTAAATACCCAGCCAGTGTTGGTATACTTCTTGTACTATCAAGGAGAAATGGCTGGTCACATTGTCAAGTGGGCCAATGGATGGCCAGATGGCCGCGGAAGCCCAAAGCTTCTATGACACTGTCTTAGCCACCCAGTGGAAAGGCAACACCTGTCCAACAAAATCCCCCAGGCTGAATTCCCCAAACCAGCCTGGATCCCATGGCCCTACTGTGACCAAGCAGATAGAAAACCCTAATTGGCTCAGCGTTGGTCACATGTCCACTCTGGCGATGGACAGTGGCCCTCCTGAGCCACAAGTGTGGGAGAAGTGACGCCCGGGGCAGCCAGGGAAGCTGTTACCAGGTGGCAGCCCTCTCTGCCGGGCCCTGATTGCGCCCACTTACTCTGCAGCAAGCTGGAGGAGGATTACCTGTACATGGCCTATGCGGACATCATGGCAAAGGTGAGGCCCTGGCCCACCCAGCGTGGCTTCCTCCTGCCCAGCGGCAGGGCCTGCTGGGGTGGACCTGGGCGCTGCCTCTGCTAGACACCATCCCCAATGGTGCCTCATCCCCAGAGCTGCCACCTGGAGGAGGGGGAGGAGAATGCCGAAGCTGAAGAGGAGGAGTCTGAGGTTTCCTTTGAGGTAGGTGGGGTCAGCAGGTCCTAGAGGAAAGGGCTGGGGACCCTGACTTGTGTCACATCCCCACTCATTCAGCACTTGAGCACGGAGCAGTGCGCTGGGCCTGCCCTTGTTCCAGGGGGGGATAGGGACCACAGCTGTGAGAGACAGAGGCGGCAGCTGGGCAGTGACAGTGACAGCACAGAGCGTCCCCCATCATGTGAGGGGAGCTCAGATGAAGTGGTCAGAATGAGGTGGCAGAGGCTCAGACTGGGGAGCCAGGGGAGCTGAGGGGACTGTGGGGGGGATTCGGGGGACCAGGAGCACCAGCAAGAGCCCTGACCCAGCCTGGGGAGGGCTCTGTAAAGAAGGCGACGTCTGGACAGGATAAAAGGCGTGTGTCTGTTGAAGAGAAGGGGAAAGGTGTTTCGGGCAGAGGGAACAGCGCGCAAAGCCCATTGAGGAAGTGGACATGCACCTGCCCACCCATTCACTCAGAGTGCTGTACCTGTAAGCTCAGGACGCAGGCACAGTGAAAGGGCTAGCAAAATACGGCTTTAAAGTTTTGCCATATGACAGGATCTGCACGTCTGCACTACTCTGCCAAATAGCGAGGCCTCACGGAGGATCCGGTAGCTGGCGTCACCACACAGCCACGTGCTGCTCACTGGCGGCAGGCCAGGGAGTAGCCACTGCCGCTGGCCTGTGGCCTGGTCCCTTCTGGAAGGACATGTTTCCATGAGAGGGTGGTGACCATACACACGTACTTTGCCTCCTCGTTCAAACGCACTGACATCTGGATTTGTATCCATTGTCCCCTTGGAGTCTGCTCAGCGCAAGTCACAAGTAGGGGACTCCAGTCCCAGGGGGCGGAGGGCGTCCACAGCTGAGGAACGAGCCAGGGGATGTGGCTGGAGCAGGGGGCGCAGGGGTGCGGGGCAGGGCTGCGAGCGGGAGGCGAGGCTGCTTGGCCGGACTCACTGGGCCCTGTGCCTGCCCCAGGAGAAGGAGATGGAGAAGCAGAGGCTCCTGTATCAGCAGGCGCGGCTGCACAACCGCGGGGCTGCGGAGATGGTGCTCCAGATGATCAGCGCCTGCAAAGGTGCCCTGCCCACCCTCTGTTCCTGCAAGCTGTCCCGCTGTTACCGGCCCAGCCCACTTGTTCCCTGGGGACCCGGCGGCAGTCTCTCGTCCCTGCATGTTGGCACGGAAACCCCAGCCCACGCATGCTCCCCTTGCACACTGGCCTCACACTCCCTCACCCCTGCACGCACACCCTTGACCGCGCCTCCCCTCCCTGCTCTCACCTCCGCTGAGCTGGTCCGCAAACTAAGTGCACCATCTTTCACCCCACCCGCCCCTCCAGGAGAGACGGGCGCCATGGTGTCCTCCACCCTGAAGCTGGGCATCTCCATCCTGAATGGAGGCAATGCCAATGTGCAACAGGTAGCGGCGGAAGGGACTCGGGCACTGGGCTCCCGGGTGGGAGCTGCCTGGGCCTCCTACTTGCCCTCTCTTCCCCACCCCTGCAGAAAATGCTGGATTATCTGAAGGACAAGAAGGAAGTTGGCTTCTTCCAGAGTATCCAGGCGTTGATGCAGACGTGCAGGTGAGTGTAACAGCCTTTCCCATCGCCCGTGGGTGTGGTTGTGCCCATTCCTGGGAGCCCACTGGCTAGCGTTCTGCTCTCTTAGCTCCAGGAACAGAGACCCGGGCACCAGCTCAGAACAGGGAGTTCACGGCAGTTCCCTGGGCATCAGAGGGGCTGTGTACGGGGCCAGACAGCTGGACCGGGAGGGCCGGGGAACCCCAGGGGCACAGGCTGTCTCTGATGACCCTCTGACTGTGGCCCCCTACTGCCCACCTTTGCTCTGATGTCAGTCCCCCCGCAAGGGCCCCCCTGAGTTTGAGCTGATGGTTTCTGTTTCCCGACTCCACTGCTGCTGCTTCCTCTGCCTTTGGCTCATCTGTGTGTTTGCCCCACCCACGCCCCAGCCCACCCATCTCAGGGGCTGCCGCACTCCAGGAGCGAGGGGGGCAGAGGCCTCATTAGGTCTCCCCGCTGTCTTTCCTTCCCGCAGCGTCCTGGATCTCAACGCCTTCGAGAGGCAGAACAAGGCAGAGGGGCTGGGCATGGTGAATGAAGACGGAACTGGTGAGGCCCCCTGGGGCTTCCCTCCCCGGACACCCTGGCCCTTCAGGAGTCCCCCCAACACTTCCCAGCGCTCCCTTGCTTCCAGACAGTCTTCTCCCCAAGCACACCCCAGCTTCCTCCCCTGCAGTGGCCCGGTCCTCCACAGCTCCCTCCCTGCGGTCCACGGTCCACGGGCATCCCAGTCTCCTGTCTCCTCTCACCCATGGCGCCCCTCCCTCCACAGCCCCAAGTCTCCCGCCCTGAAGCCCTGATCCCCCGATCCCCTGATGGCTGTCCTCTCATTAATGTGCCTAATCCGGGTTAATCACGTCTCCTCTTTGCCGTGTTGTGATGTGTCTAACTTTTCTGCTCCGGTCCTCGCCTCCGCCTCTCCTCCTCTCTCTCTCTCTCCTTGCTTTTCTTCCCCTTTCCTCTCACTCCTGCTCTCTCCCGTTTCCTTGCTGCTCTTTCTCTGTCTGTGTCTTCGTCCCTGACTGTGTTACCGGGTGTTTTTCTGTCTGTCTGTCTGTGTCCTTCCGTCTCTCTTCTTCCCTCTTTTCTCCTGCTTCCTCTTCCCATCCTGTTGGCTGCCCCAGTCATCAACCGCCAGAACGGTAATTTCCCAGCCTTGCCCCTTGCTGTGCTGCTGCCACCCCTTCCCTCTAGCCCCCAGGCCCCCCCCACCCCGGGCTGAGGATCTGGGGTCTGCAGGAAGGGAGGACCCCCTCAGGGGTGCACCATGCCTGCAGAAAGTCTTGAGACCAGAGACCAAGATTCTGGTCTCAGATTAGCTACTAACAACACACGAGACTATGATAGACTATAAACCTCAGTCGCCTGAGTGTAAGCTAGAAGCTGGAGAAGATGGCAGAGCTCCCCTCCAGCTGCACAGCTCAGACTTCCAGCCCAGATTCCCAGTCTTGGGGCGGGTGACCCCCCACTCCCTCCTACCCTCCTCTCTAAGGCCTGACCCTGATTGGTTGGGTCTGAGCTCCCACCCATCACTGGATTGGCTGCCCCCAGCACCCACTGTGATCAGTGTGCCCCCCACCCTGCGCCTGCTCTGGCTGGCCCATTCCCGGCTCCCTCCCTCCCTCCACACAGAGGGAGCCCCCTTCAGGTGCCTGTTCTGGTTGGCTCCTGTTCACAAGCCTCCCTCTGTTCCTCCCAGACTGGCTGCTCTCAAGGCCTCTGAGCCAGTTGCCTGGCTTTCAGTCCCATTCCCAGTCCTTCCTGCCCTAGGCCTTTGCATGAACGTGACTCCACCTCCCATAATCCATTAACCCCCCTGCAGCCCTGGAGGGGACTGAGGGAGATGCCAGCTGCCTGCGCCTGCTGGGTCCGCAGACACACGTGGGGACATCAGCGGGGAAACTGATGTAAAGACACTTGAGGCTCCAGATTCATGACTCAGGGCGCCTCTGGTCTCCAGGGACCCCTGGTGTCATGGATGCCGGTGACTCACAGCGTCTTTGACGTGGTGGTGGCTGCCCTTCCTGCGTCCCCGTGCCTTTGCGCATGCGGGTGCTGGGTGCCTGTGGGTGCCGTGTGCATGAGCCTCGTGCATGCTGTGCTGTGTCCTGGTGCATCTGACTCTTTCTGGGCCCTGCCCCCATCTTCTACCCAGGAGAGAAGGTCATGGCCGATGATGAATTCACCCAAGACCTATTCCGATTCCTGCAGTTGCTCTGTGAAGGGCACAATAATGGTGAGGAGGAGGGGTGTGCTGGGTGGAGAGCAGGTGGAGGACTGGGGTCGCCTGGGAGGGTGGCCTGAGTTCATCTCCAGCCCTTACCACCTCTTACCAGCGTGTCCTCCCCACCCACCCAGGCCCATCCTCAACCCCGCTGTCCATCTCCCCTTACTCTCAGGCAGGGTCAAGCTCTGTCCACTGACCTTCCTCAGTCTCTCCTGGATTTCTGAAGCCCAGTCACTTTGCCATGCTTTTCCCTCCTCTGGCCAGTCCAGGTCTACACAAGCAACTTGCCCAAGCCTGATCTGTCAAACATCTAATCGCCCAGTGAGCAATTAGCTGCAGGCTACTTTCCCACAGGCTCTTGCAGCAGCTGCCAAGCACAGTAAATATGGTGAATTTCTATACTTTGGGTCTAGAGAGGCAGATGGCACAAGCTTACGATGACTCCGCTAGAATCCCTCATTAATTTTGCTTATAGAGGAAGGTCTGCAGATTCCTCCCTAGCTTATCCAAGCGTTTTCTCTCTCTTTGGTTCAAGCTCAGGCAATTTAACCAGATCCAGGGTGACACAATAGGTCAAATGCACCATTGGTGCGAAAGTACAAACTCATGGAGCACGAAGCTTACGACATTAAGGGGACAGTCACAAATGTGTACCACAACATTCTACCTGACGTCATTTCCTATCACAGACACATCCAGCCTCAGGGTTGTGGTTTCAATGCTTAGCAGGTGATCATAAAACCACAGACTGCCCAGAAATTAACTTTTATGACAAAAATTGGAGTCATTATAAATCTACCTCCCCTAAAACCTGCACCCCACCTAGCTAGTGTCTTTTAAGGTAACTGCTTGCTGCAGCTCTTCCCATCCTCACTCTTCAACAAAAGGTTAAGCGTGACCCATTGTTTCGCATTACCAAAGTTCTGTGTCTGCAGCCAGTTTTTCCTGGAGGTGTCCTTCATACCTTGGTGCTGTGTGAGTAGGGTTCTCGTTTGATTTAATTAAGGCAGAATCTGTCTTTGGGATTTAAGGTGAATGTTACACCCTGGGCCTATGAATTTTTGGAAATGAGAATATTCTCTGGGGAACAATTTCTATCCTGTCACCAAACTTAACCTGCACATCCTCTACCTAAATTCATGGACTCATTCACTGGTCTCGCCAAATAATTAAGATGCCTTCCAAATCTTAGATGCCTTGCTTCTATGTCTTGAGTATTCAGTGCTAATCATAGGTATAGAATGTGTCTTACTGTCTTCACACTGTGTTCTCAGTCGAGAGTTCTGCATAGGAAGAGGGAAGGGCCATTAACCATTTACACATCTGGTCTAAATGCTGTGTTGTTCCTTTAAAGGAAAACAAAAGAGTTAGAAAATGGGCTTGATAAGAAAACATTTGTTCATAAAATCATAAATATATATATATGTGTGTGTATATGAATACACACACACATATATATATTATATCTATAGTGTTTATAATGTTAAACCAGGTAAAATGGACATTTAGCCTGATACAGGAACATGAAGGATCACAGGGAGGTCGGGTGAAAAGGCAAACTTTGGGGGGCAGAACCCTTCAAAGACTGCTGCAGCCTGCCCATGCAACTTGACCTTGCTACGCACGTTAAAAGAGCTTGATTGGAGTCTGCCTCTCTTGCCTCAGTAGTTAGATGAATTGATCTTTTGGCAAATAGGTCCACAGAGGTGGTTCTCAAACCAAGAGCTAAGAAACACAGCCTTGTTAAAATCCAGACTTCTGGGTCCCACCCAAAATTTTCTGATTTAATCGTTCTGGGGTGGAATCCAGGAGTTTGCAATTTTAACAATTTCCCAAGAGTCTGCAGCTGCTATTTTGGGACCCCACACATTGAGAAGCATTGCCCCAAAGAAAAGCTCTTAACCTCAGCACCGTCTTTAAGACAGTAAACAATTCTAGAGCTTGCCTCTACCTGGCGCTCCCTCAATTCTTTCTGTGCGCTGTGTTAAAACCTCACAGCAGCTCTACCACATAGGGTCTGTTGTGGTCCCCAGAGTCCATGAGGTTCAGTAACATACCTGAGCACACAAGCCGGAACTTACCCAGCCAATTTTTACTTTCAAATCTCAGCTCAGAGTCCCCTCCTCCAGGAAGTCTTCCCTGACCACCCAGGCTGAGTCAGGTAGCTCCTGTGGGTTCCTCCAGCCCTGAGTTTCCCACCTCACGACCTGCCTGATCTGCTCAGTATTTCCCACCCGCACCCCCGTTTACCCATGAATAGTGCTTTATTGTTTGTGTAGAAGCAGAAAGAATGGCCTCATAACCCCACATACCCACACTCAGCTCTAAGTCACTGGCTTTCTGCCGTAGAACTGCGTTTTTCAAATAAGGGCAACCAACTCATTCTGAATCCGTTTATGGCAGGGGTTCTTTTAAAATTTATTATTATTATTCTTTAAAGATTTATTTATTTATGCATACAAGAGCTAAGGTACAGGCCACAGGTGCGGGGGTGATAGGATTCTCCAGAGACAGAGTGGGGAGCAGAACAGGAGGATGGAGTGAAATACACTGCTGAGGGGAGCAGTGGGCCGGTTGGGAGAGGTCTGCTGTGCCCTGTGGGCTAACTCCCCAGCAGGCCCAGGCCTTGAAGGTGGGCCTTCGTAGTGACAGAGCTGAGAATTAGCCCCCTTTTACCCCCCCATCCTAATTTAATTGCTCTGAGATAGGGCCTGAGCAGTAGCATTTTTATTTTTTACTCCCAGCCACTCTTGATTTTTATCTTCCAGAACTGAGATTTTTATTTTATTATATTTATTTTTCTACTCCAACCCCTTAACCCAGCACTGGGATAAACTTCCGGGTGATTCTAATGTGCAGCCCAGGCAAGAGGTTGACAGCTACCAGTACTTCAAATTAAGCGGGCTGAGGTAACAGTTCTTTTATAGTCAGTTAGAGTAATAAGGGCATACCGTGTGCATGGCATACGGTAGGGACATGTGAGATTTCTGTTTCAGGTATGTGTGGCTATAACTTCAGATTAAAGCCATGTTCTCGGTCTCAATGTAAAATGGATTTTCCTGACATAAGTTGCAGTCAAGAAAGGCTGAGAAATGACTGCATGGTATAGAAACTCCTCAAAGGAGTTTGTTTTTACAAGGAGGGACTTTGTTTTTACAATTTCAAAAAAAAATTTTTTTTTACTGCTGTATCCCCAGGGCCTTTTTAGAGTAGTGTCTGGCACATAGTAAATGTGCAACCAAATTGCTGTACCAAAAAATAGGTGCTCTCTCTTCATCTGCCATCCACAAACAATATGCTCCATAGATATAATTTGAATAAATAAATGAAAAAAGATAACCCATGCCTATCTCTGGCTTTTGGTGGTGCTCGGTAAATAATTTGAAAATATGAACAAATATTTGAAAAGGGAAAGATAGAAAACATCCTCCATCTCAAGCACATAGGAGGCATGCCGCACATTTCTGGGAGCAAATGGAGGGCTGATGCTCCCCGTTTCCCTGCTGTATTGTAGTTGTTCAATAAATACTCTTTGGAAAGATATGATGAATAAGTGACTCCACCACTCTGGCTCGTAATAGGCAGCTACAGCTAGCCATTACCTAAATAAACGATCCTTCCGCTTCCGCTGGCATGCATAAGGTACTCGATGAAGTTATTAAATAATAGAATGATGGTATCCCTCTGGCTTACCAAAGGCACTCATCAATAAATGATCCTCTCCCCACTTCCTTTAGTACAGGATAGATGATCCACGAATGACTTGTCATTTCTTGCCAGATTTCCAAAATTACCTACGGACGCAGACAGGGAACACGACCACTATCAATATCATCATCTGCACAGTGGACTACCTCCTGCGGCTACAGGTGAGGCTGGGGGGAGGGGTGCCAGGTATGACCTGGGTGGGGATCTGTAGGGACACGCTTGGCCCCAGCACCCCCCTGAACCCGGTCGGTCCCCCAGGAGTCCATCAGCGACTTCTACTGGTACTACTCCGGCAAGGATGTCATCGAGGAGCAGGGCAAGAGGAACTTTTCCAAAGCCATGTCCGTGGCTAAACAGGTGTTCAACAGCCTCACGGAGTACATCCAGGTAGGACCAGCCGCTGGCGCGGAGAGGGGCTGGCCCGCGCCCGCGCCCAGCCAGGCGCTCAAGCCGCTCTCGGCCCGCAGGGCCCCTGCACCGGGAACCAGCAGAGCCTGGCGCACAGCCGCCTCTGGGACGCCGTGGTAGGATTCCTGCACGTGTTCGCTCACATGATGATGAAGCTCGCTCAGGTCTGGACCCCTCTCGCTCCCATCCCGCCTGCTCCGGGGCAGCCCCCAACTGGCCCTAGCCCCAGCCTGGCCCCGAGCCAGTCAGACCCGCAGACTGTCCCGCGGCGCGGCCGAGACTTCCCTCCGGATTGGCTGTCGCCTGACCCCGTCGACTCTGCCCCCACCTGTCGGCTGGTGTCGCGTCCGAACGTGCGCGCGGCTGACTTTCGGGCCCCGCCCCTGGGGCCCCGCCCCAGCCCCGGCGCTGCTCTGTGATTGGCTATTTCCTGCCGGCGGCCCTCTCGGATTCGCACGATCCTGGGGAAGGGGCGGGGCAGGCTTCTAGTGCAGGGCCCGCTCCAGGAGTGTTTTCTTTATTCTGCCTGCGGCAGATGAGGCCCCTCCCGGGCACCCATGACGTAAGGTCCCTGTCGATCCTACCTCCCACTTCTGGAACGCTTGCGCCCCCTTGCCCCACCACCCCTTGTCAGTGCAGCCTTGTCAGTGTCTCGCGAACACTTTTCTCCATTTGCTGCGCTTCGGTCTGGTAAACAGACTCAGCCTGATCATATCCACAGCACCAGGGCTCACCATCCGAGGGGCCACCAGCCCCATCCTACACTTCACAGATGTACCGTATTTATTACGATGATTTTCCAGCAGATGGCAGTAAACTGTTCTGCATATCATAATTTCCCAGGAGGAAGTCTTGAGGAAGAGGAGCCTTTTCTAATTTGCTCAGAGGTGCCACAGTGATTAGCCATACCCTGTCAGGTGCTCTGTGACTTTTTGAAAGGATCTGAATTTACAACACACTTCTGTGTACTCTCAAAACTTTAGAGAACACTTCTTAGTGTAGAATTACAACTCTTGCTCATTCATCAGTTGTGGTCTCAGGCTAGAAACCCATCGCAAAGTGGTAGCTTAAGGGGCAAAAAAGACTATAGCTTCACAGTCAGCAGAAACGTCTTTTGGTCTGACTTCCTGGTCAAGTCGGCTATCTTCACAGGCTGGGAAAATAGCGCCCTGGCCCTCCAGCAGCCCCTAGTAGCTCCAGGGACGAAGCCCCCTCTTTCATCAGCGCCTCTGGAAAAGACCTTTGATGCCCTCCTATTGTACAACTGGGTCGCATGCCCACCCCTGAGCTGTGACTGTGGCTAGGGGAAAGAAGAAGACTGTGGTTGGACAGATCCACTCATAGAGCCACCCCTCGAACCAGGGCTTAGCTCCGCTCTGAGAGTGGAGCTTCTAAGCAAAGCAAAAGCCTGGGTCATGGATCTTGAGATCCAAGCAGGTTAGGTACAGAACACAGAGCTTTGGACCTTTGGAAATGTGCTAGGAACTCCAGAACATCACGACCCTACAGCCAGTCCTGGGTACAGACAGAAGACTTGCATCCCATCTCCTTCCCTTGTCTTCATTTTTTTAAGGAAGAACCATATGGTAGAACCCACTTTGTGGGTCAGATGAGCAAATATTGGCAATTTGATGTAGCTCAATGTGATATTAAGAGTGACCATACGCACACGTTTGCTTTGGGAGCTCCTGCAGCCTACATGAGACATTGTGACACCGGAGGAAATGTCCCCGCACTGCCCCCCCACTTTACCAGAAGCATGTGGCTATCTCCTCCAGCCTTCTTCCTGAAGCCTGTGTCCCTCTTTTTCCATCACACATTCATTCAACAAATGTATCAAATACCAGGCACGGTGCTGACATTCATTCCTTCCCCGACCTGTGTCTCTATCCTCTGTTTGCCCCTGTCTCTACCTCTCTCTGCTCCAGATGGGGCTTTGGGGCTCTCTAAGCTCCAGACTCCTCCCATTCCTCCTTGTCTGCCAGCCTTTGCTCCCACACATCACCTATTAGCTCTGCTCCCCCTCAAACACCACCCCCACCCCCACAATCGTGTTTCTCTGCCCCTTCCCCTGCTTCCGAGGAACATGTCTGGACTCGGGTCCCCTCGGAGGTAAGAGGGAAGAAAAGGAGTCCTAGTTCTGTCGGGTGGATGAGGAAGGGCTGAAGCTGCAGAGGTGGGGGAGGCATCTCTGCAGCCCGGTCCTCACAAGGCTGGGGTTTGGGATTTCTAGGACTCAAGTCAGATCGAGCTATTGAAGGAGCTGCTGGATCTACAGAAGGACATGGTGGTGATGCTGCTGTCGCTGCTCGAAGGTGAGAACCAGTGGATGGGGTCAGGGAAGGGCACAACGGTGTAGACAAGTCTGAGAATGACCTACTGAACCCTGGGGGACCCTAACCTTCAACATTATGTGGGGATCTGTATAAAAAAGTTCCAGTAACAAGCTCAGCAAACCCTCACTGAGCACTTAACATGTGCCAGGCTCTGACTGTACACATTTACTGACTCCCCAGAGAAATGTTAATAAGATGGGTGGCTTGGCTACTTTTATTTATGTATTTACTTGGTAGTTATTTATTTTGCTAACAGACATATCCCAAACTTAGTGATTTAAAATAAACATAAATCAAAATTCTTTACTAATTAATAAACAATTTTACTAGTAGATAAGGGACCTTTACTATAGCAGTTCATAAAGATGGTGTTCTTTTATATAGCTGTATAGTACTCCATTGTGTAGGTGTGCAGTGATTTATTTAATTATACTTCTGTTGATATTGAAAGTTTAAAAACATGTTTTTCTATTTTTTAAAGAGGTGCAGGGGCGTGAGAATGAAGGATTCACCAGACAGAGTGGGGAGCAGAATAGGCAGATTCATTGAAAAACACCACTAAGGGGACCAGTGGGCGAGACAAGAAAGGTCTGCTCTACCATATGTGGATTAGCTCCCTGGATGGGGATCAAACTCAGGCTTCTGTGACAAGAATATGATAGTGCTGAGAATTAATCCCTATGCCACCAACAATATGTTGCTATTATAAACAATATTGCAATGAATGAACCTCTTAGAACATTGGGTTTTTTTTTTTTTTTTGCAACTAGTCATTTGCTTTTAAAAATCAGATGATTCTTTAAGTATCATATTTCCAGCTATCCTTGATATTTGAAAGATTTGGTGACACTAGGTCCGCATTCTCACATAGCAAAAATCAGCTTGACTAGATGAAGTAATTGGATTATATCATCATTAAATCTCCTCACTTTAATGACTGCACTGAGTATGTAAGAGAATGTTTTTGTCTTATAAGACATAAAAATGAAAATGTTTAGGGGTTACTGTCAGCAACTTACTCTCAAGGGTTCAGGAAAACAAAGGGGAGCTTATAAAGCAAATGTGGCAAAATTTCAGCATTTGTTGAATCTATTTTGTATGAGGATTCTTTGTACTGCTCCTGTACTTTTATGTAATTCTAAAATTACATTAAAACTGTAAGATGCAAAAAGAGGCTGGAGCCAAGCTTCAGCTGCTGCCTTTAATAAGGAGTGTGGAATCCGAGTTTTCCACAGTCTCTGCCTCTCCTTACTGTATTCCCTTTGCCTACCTCATTTACCTATGGACCTGCCTGATCTCTGTGGGCTAATGGAAGGCTCAGGTCATGTGGTTCTGGGTTCAAGTCCTCCTACCCCCTTACTGATTTTGTCACCCTGAATATGTGACTTTTCTGAGGCCCAGTCTTTTCATCTGTAAAAATGGATCTTCTACACCTCCCTTACAATGATGAGATCATGCCAGTGTAGCCCTTGGCATGGCATGTGGCATCTGTTGTGAGTTTATGCCATCCTTCCTTTTTTCGGTGACTCTCCCTGCTCTTGGGGGAGGCAGACAGAAAGGACCAGCCAGGTTCACACATGATGAGTACAATGCAGGAGAGACCCACGTCCTTGGAGAGGAGGCTTGGGCGCTAGCCAGAGAAGCATCCACCAGCACGGAGGCTCCTGGAGAGCCAGGGGTGGCTCCCAGGCTGGACAGGGAGGCAAGCCGGCGAGGGTCCAGAAAGGAGGCACTGACTTGGGCTGCCTGCAGGGAACGTGGTGAACGGCATGATTGCCCGGCAGATGGTGGACATGCTTGTGGAATCCTCATCCAACGTGGAGATGATCCTCAAGTTCTTTGACATGTTCCTGAAACTCAAGGACATCGTGGGTTCTGAAGCTTTCCAGGACTATGTCACTGATCCCCGTGGCCTCATCTCCAAGAAGGACTTCCAGAAGGTGGGTGCTGGAAGGCAGGTGGATGGGGATGCCAAGTGCAGGTCACACCCTTCCTGGCTGCCTACCTTCGGCAAGAGATTTCTCTGTGAGCCTTAGTTTGTATATCTGTAAAATGGGGATCAAACAGTCCTTGGGGTTTTTTGTTTGTTTGTTTTTGAGATAGCTCTTCACATACATGTCATCACCCTGTGCCCACCACCAAGGCCCTCACAGTTTTTTCTGAAGATGAAATACATTCACATAGGTGAGAACTGTTATTTCTGTTGTTATTCAATTGAGAAACATCTGCCAGCTTTCTCCTCTGTGCTGGTAGAATGGCCACAGCAGTGCCCCAGACAGACACAGCCCTACCCTCATGGGGCCTACAGTCTGGTGAGGGAGACATTCGCTAACAATACCACAGGCTTAAATAGTGGCAAGGGGAGTGCAGGGACAGCTGTCTCCAGGAGCCTGCTCATCTGTTCCTGTCCCCCTCCCACCCCAGTTCTCCCCTCTCCCCACAGGTCAGCTCTTTATCTACTATGAGCCTCAGCTTCCTCCTTTGTGAAATGGGACTGGGATAATAGCATTAACTGCCCCCAGGACTGCCACGAAGGTGGACACTGTGTGGGCAGTGTCTGGGACACGGGAACCCTCGAGATGCTAGCTGCTGTTATTTCTGTTAGCACTGCGGGGTCTTTTCCAGCACCACATTATTAACTTTTTCTTTTAGAATCACTTCCGGCTTATAGAGGAGTTGCAGAAATAGTCCATGAACTTTTCTGAAGGTCCAGACTGCCTGAATGTTAGCTTTTTACCACTTTTGCTCTGTCATGATTCCCCTTACTTCTAAATACTTTGGGGCGTATCTCCTCAGAACAAATTCATTCTCTTACATAACCACAGATCTACTATGCAAATTAGGAAACCTTGCTGTGATGCGCCTGTCTGTAGACCTGTTCAGTTTCCCCCAGTCTGAGAAACCCTACCCCCACCCGGGAGCCGGTCCAGGGTAAGGATTTGGATACTGCGTCCTGTCTCTTTCATCTCCTGGAGTCGGAATGTGCCTTCACGTTCTGCTTTTCATGACCCGGACATTTTTGAGGCTCAAGACCAGCTTTTTGATAGTATGTGTTTGCCTGAGCTTTCTTCATGACTCCACTCAGAGCTGCCTTGGATAGCTGTGCATGTTGCACACTGTTCAAAGGAGCAGATACTGTAACTGTGTTGCAGAGGCGGTAAATGTGCTGAGGAAGGCTCCCTGGGGGCTACTGGCAGCACTGACCATAGTGATTACGCTTGGACACCCCTCTTTCTGCGTGTGCAGCTCTATCCAAGGGCAAACTTCCCAAGGCAGATTGCTGGTTTAAAGGATAAACACGTTTGTTGTCTGGACAAATTTTTGTCCCCCATTTTCCTTCCCTACAGTGATATGTGAGGGTGCCTGTCTCCCCCAGTCTCACCACTAGACCACAGTGTCATATAATTGGATCTTTGCCAATCTGATAGGTGAAAATGGCATTGCAGGGCAGTTTTAATTCATTATTTCACCTTGACGAATGTGGTTAAAGTATTTTGCACGTTTTTCCTTTTATATTGGTGGTTTTGTGAACTGATCATATCCTTGGTTTATTTCTGTGTTGAGATGCTGGTATTTTTCTTCTTGATTTCTAGGAGCTCTTGATAGATTAGGCTGGTATGTTATCTCTAGTAAGGGAAGTCTGTTCATCTTTGCTTATGTTATTATTAGATGTTTTGGGGGCCTTGCAGAATACTTGATTTTTGGGGTAGAAAAAAAATTTAAATTTTATAATAGTTTATTTTTACAAATTTTTGTGCATTTTTCCATCTCAGTTGCAATCCCTGTGGGCTTCCCATCACCAAATCACCCATGTACCATCACCATAGTTCAGTGCATTTCCCTCCCTCCACAGTTTTTGATCCCATTCCCCACTCCTGGGTAGAAAATCTTTTAAGATATTTTCTTAATTTTAAACTACATAGGTAAATCAGGAGCATAGTTCCTCTTGGAAATTTAGAACTTACAGCCGTGTTTGGGTCGCCTTTGGCTTCCATCCTCAGTCCTGTTCTTTTCCCACCACGCTAAATGCTGCAATGTTACCTACTTGGTACATAGCTCACCAGCTGCTTTATTTTTACATTCCCATTCACATGTAAATATGCATGGAAAAAATGATAGCACTGCTTTGTGGCATCCTGCCTTCTTCTGGACAGGGTTCTCGACAGCTTGCAAAACACATCTTCACTGATAAGTTCGTGCCAGATTCCAGGGCACCTGGCACCAGTAGGAAGCCCTTCCTGGTGGTTCCAAGTACATTTGCCATGAAGAATTTACTCTTGTCAGAATTTACTCCTGTAATATTTCAAGATTTTTTTTTCTTCACAATTCTCTGAGCCAGCTGGAAGCCCATGTACTGAGGAAGGTTCCCTGGCGGCTATAGCAGTGCTGACCACAGTGATTACGCTTGGACACACCTCATTCTGTGTGCGCAGTTATATCCAGGGGTAAACTTCCCAAAGTGGGTTGCTGGTTTAAAGGACAAACAAGGTGATCCCATCCATTGCAAATGGTTGTTTTAAAAAACAAACAAAAAAAATTGTGTCGAATAACTGAGAGGGTTCACCAGAGACAGAATGGGGAGCAGAACAGGTGGATCTACTGAAATCTACTGCTGAGGAGGACAGCAGGGAGACAAGAGAGGTCTGCTGTGCTGTGTGGGCCACGCAGGGGGCCAAACTCAGGGATCAAACTCAGGCCACAGTGGCTGTGACAGCTTGACAGCCTGAGACTTAACCCCTGCGCCACCAGGGAGGCCCCCAGTTTCTTTCCATTTGGGATTTTTCTTCACAGGATTTTTTTCAAAAAATTTTCAAAAAGAGTAATGCTATTTGATGCTTCTCAGCTGTCAAGATGCTTTATTCACTTGGCAAGTATGTGTTGGGCACCCACTGTATGCAGCAACACACCAAACAGAGCGCTCCCATCCCCCAGGCAGGTAGCCCAGGGGGGCGCGGCAGATGATAAAAAAGTAAAAAAAAAAAAAAATGTCATTTCAGGAGATAACCTGTGGTCTGAAAATAAGCAGGGTGGCGTGTGAGAGTGCGTGGGTTGGGTCAGCCCCAACAATGGGAGCGGGGGCAGGAGGACACTGACAAAGGAACCACACAGGTGGGGCAGGTTCAGCTGCCCGGGCCAGGGGCCGCGAGTGGAAAGGCTGAGAGGCGGGAACCAGAGGAAAAGAAGCCTGTGTGACTGGCGAGGCTGCTGGGGAGGAGAGGGGCAACATGTCAGAGTTGGGGGCAGCCCTGCTGGGTGGCTTGCGGCAAGGAGGACAGTGGCTTTGGACTTAAATGAGAGGAGCAAGGGGGGACTCGGAGCAGGGACGGGATGTGCCCTGACTCAGGTGTTGATAGGGTCCCTCCCTCTGGCAATGTGTGGGGAGCGGGCTGGGGGACAGGCGGCAAGCAGGGAGACCAAGGAGGGGTGCGCTGATGGCCCAGGGGCAGGCAATGGGAAACAAGAGCAGATGCAACGGGGGCTTTGCAAGGGGGCGCAGCAGTGGCTCCTAGACTTACTGAGAGCGGAGGTGACAGATGGGGTGGGCGGGGAGATAAAAGGGGGGTGGAGGATGACTCAAAGATTTTAGCTGAAGCACCTGGGTGGGTGGTGATGCTATTCCTGAGATGGCTAAGGCTGGGGGAGGGAGAGGTTTTGAAATCAAGAGATCGGTTTGGGCCATGTCCAATGTGGGGGGGAGGGTCCGCAAATGTCAGGTGGGGTTTCAGTGCTGTGTGTCTGAACCTTGGGGAGCGGTCAGGGCACAGGTGTAGCTCCAGTAGTCGTTGGCATGGAATGGCCTTGGGCATCAGTGCCAACCCTTGGAAAAGGGGTAGTGTCACCCAGTGTGGAAGGGGAGGAGGCAGGTGCTAGGGCAGGGTAGAAGGTGAGGAGTTCCTGTGTGATTATGTCTCCACACTCTGTGGTTTCTAGAGCCCTTTATGATTTGCAAAGTCTGTTACTCATTTAGAAAGCATTTTGCAAAGATCTTGGCTACAAAGCACTTTTTAGAGCCAGAGAATTTTGCTTCTGTTCAGACCCCAGAGCAGCAATTCTCAAATGTTGCAACCCATGTGTGAGTCATGAAATTCATCTGGTAAAGTCATGACCGGCATCTTTAAAAAATAAAATAGACTATTGCAGAGTGCGTTGCATAGCAAAAGTCAGATGTGTCATGAAACCTTTTTTTCCTTTTGAGTCACATTGTAAAATGCATTCTTACTGTGGGTATAGTCAAAATATTTGAAAAACTTCCTTAGAGGACCTCTTGCAAAAATGCACAGGGGGCCAGCACAGGAATGGCCAAGAAATGTCCTCCATAAAGTAAAAATCCACAAACAACCTAAATATTTACCTTCAGGAGACTAGACAGTATTGTAATTCCAAATCAGGAATACTACACAGCAATGAAAATGAGTTCATTTTGATCTACAGTCAACATGTACAGAACTGGAAAACATACAGTTGGATAAAAAATGCAAGTTTCAAATGATATTAGTAATTCATTAAATAATAAACACATGATATCACATGTATGTAGGTGTGTATGTAGTTGAGAGGTGAGAAAACAATGGGCCAGAGGTAGTGGTAGTATTGACACGCCAACTCCAGGGTAGTGGTTACCTCGGGGAAGATGGGAGAATGGAGCACGGTGCACTGTCATTCCTGTAGTGTTTTTGTTCTTAAAATATATACATTTGAGGCTTATGTCACGATGAACATCCATTAATTCTGGGGTGATGGCCATATAACTATGTTTCAGTCATAATTTGATGGCCCCCACTTTGTTGATGACTAAGTTGCCGGGAAAGGCAGGAGAGGTTGCAAAAAGCCTGGGGGCTCGGCCAGAGGCGTGCCTGTGCCAGAGATGGCCTGACCCAGAGGGAAGGCTGGCTGTCCCCCAGGAGAGGGGAGTTGCCAGACCCGGCTGCAGGGACCCAGCTGACCTCCGAGCCAGGGACATGCCCCGCTTATGGAAGAAGCCTGAGAGAAAAATGTCACAGCTTCTTCTGTTCCCTTCCCTCATGCCCCCCTCACCGTCACCACTGTAGCAGAGGCTAGGTGCAGACTATAGGCGCCATTGTGCAGGAGAGGAAGGGAAGCGATTGTGAGGGAAATGGCAGGATGGATGGCAGCATTTCAAAGCAGCACCACAACCCACTGCTGCCCAAGGGCTGAGTTCCTTCAGCTTTCTGATGTTTACCATCTCTGAATAGGAACTGTCTGGAACTGGGTGGAAGGAGGCTCAGCTCTCTGGACATACAGCGTTCCTGTATTTCAATAGCTGGTATCACCTTCCCCAGGCCAGCCTGCTAGGTGTGAGGCTTAGGGGCTGGTGATACGATTCTCGACTTTTTTGTTTCTATGAAAAGCCCAAAGTTGTTTTAAGAGGAAGAGCATGGTACCTCCTCAAGCTCCCGCTTGACCTCCTGGCCCCTGCCTACCCCTAGGCCATGGACAGCCAGAAGCAATTCAGTGGTTCAGAAATCCAGTTCCTGATTTCCTGCTCCGAAGCGGATGAAAACGAAATGATCAACTTTGAAGAGTTCGCCAACCGCTTCCAGGAGCCAGCCCGTGACATTGGTTTCAACGTGGCTGTGCTGCTGACCAACCTGTCGGAGCACGTGCCGCATGACCCACGCCTGCGCACCTTCCTGGAGCTGGCCGAGAGCATCCTCGAGTACTTCCGGCCTTACCTAGGCCGCATCGAGATCATGGGAGCCTCACGCCGCATCGAGCGCATCTACTTCGAGATCTCAGAGACCAACCGGGCCCAGTGGGAGATGCCCCAGGTCAGCCACCCCCTGTGCATGGCGTCTGCTCGGCTTCTGCACATGAGTTATGAGCGCTGCTGTGCCCCTGCACACCCTGATTCTCTCCGGCAGCCTCTGCAGACCCCGCACGGATGTCCAGCCCCTGCACACGCTTCAGTGTTCGCTGTGTTTGCACACCTTGCCTTCCACTTGCATACCCACCCTGGGATTTCACCCTGCCTTCATGGACCCAATGCAGCCCTGCCCATGCTGAGCCCACATGTTTACCCACTCCTTGCTCACCTTCCCAGCAGCCTCTTGGCCTTGGCCCACCGTTTGGGACATTCACCGGGGGGGCTCTGGAATGACCCACTGTGTCTTCAGCTGCCCTGTGAGGTCCCAGCACACAGCAGAATCCCATTATTCTGGGTCCACACACACCCTGGGGATGCCAGTGTGCCTTCCTGTGGTCCTGGCTCCTCAGATGAGCATCCACACCTCTCACTTATCACCTCCCTCATGCCCTCCTGCCCCCCTGGCATGGCTCAGATCCGCCATGCACACAGGAACCACCCTCTCAAGACACCCTCAGGGCCCTGCAGTGGCCAGCCTGGACCTGGGCCTGCTGTGTCCAGTCTCGTCCCCTGTATGCAAGGCCCCTTCCACGTTCACTTACCCTAGTTGTGTGGCCCTGGCACACACACCCGCCTGCTCACACACTTTGGCTCCCATGTGCTTCCCGGCCCCCAGCCCTTGCACTTCCCACACACCCTGCACACTCTCCACCCACAGCCCTGCCTGCATCACACTGGCACGTGCACACGGCACACCGAGTCTGCGTGCTCCTTGCAGGCCCCTGGTGCTCACACTCCATTTTGCTCCCTGGAAGCCCACAGGCAGCTGCACACCCGTCCCCTCTCACACTGCAACCTTAGTGTCGTCAGTGGGTGCCTGGATCGTGCACACCTGAGTCCTGTCCTCGTGTGCCTGCTGCCCTGACTCCTGGGGTCCCCCTTGCATTCACATCTGCCTCACACATGGACTGAGTACAGACCGCCCCCCACTTCCACTCCCCTCCCAGTTTTGCCCCAGGCCTTGCCTGCCTGCCTGCCTGCCTGCCTGCCGCATTGGCTGCTGGGGGAGATTTCCTTGTGCTGTTCCTACAGATACCCGCTTCTTCCTGCTCACCTGTCCCAGCCCTACTCTCCCCTGCTGGTCAAGATCCCATGTGAACCCCAAGTACCCAAAAAAACGTAATGAAGCACTCGTTACTGCACTGCCTTATCATATAGCACAACTGACATACTCTACATGACACAGCAGACACCAGGCAGCAGGTAGCGACAGCACCCACTTCCTGGGGTGCGCCAGGTGCTGGAGTCCTTCGAATCACTCAGCACCTGTTAGTTAGCTCAATAACCCACAAACCAGCCCTGTGACCTAGATACTACTGTTACCCCCGTTTATGGAGGAACAGAGTTTCAGCCCATTCACGGGGCTACTGAGTGGCGGAGTCAGGATTGAGCCCAGCTGCCCAGCCAGAGCCTGTTCCCAGCCCCTGTGTCCCCTGTCTCGCAGAATTTTAAAACACGGCTTCTAGAGGCAACTGCTGGAATTCGCATCCCACATCTGCCAGCTCTGGGCCTCTCTTTCCTCCTCTGCAAAACAGAAATCCCAACCCCTAGTCTGGGGCTGTGAGGGTGAAATGAGGCCGTCTGGGTAAAATGCTTGGTACGGGCGCCCGCGTAAAGGGCCCTGACACAGGCGCGCCAGCCCGCGCCGCGCCGCGGAGGGCGGTTCAGCTTTCCAGCGCCACGAGCCGCATCGCGACCCCTCCGCGCCGCAGGTGAAGGAGTCCAAGCGCCAGTTCATCTTCGACGTGGTGAACGAGGGCGGCGAGTCGGAGAAGATGGAGATGTTCGTGAGCTTCTGCGAGGACACCATCTTCGAGATGCAGATTGCGGCGCAGATCTCTGAGCCCGAGGGCGAGCCCGAGGAGGACGAGGACGAGGGGGCCGGCGAGGCGGGCGCCGAGGGCGCGGAGGAGGGCGCGGCGGGCCCCG